AATAACATATCTGTTTTAGCACCAAGAATACATAAAATCTGCATACGAAAAGTGTTGAGTCTGCGTATGATCCAGATGCTTGCATTGGCGTGCTGTCCCTGCCTGTTTGTCAGTAAGCAGATGGATGCATAGACGGCTCCACCTGCTCTCGTTCTCCTTATCCGAGCTGGCCCTTCAGCCATGCTGGATACCCTTTCCTTTGTAAGCAGAGACGAGGAAGGAGGTGCACAGATGCTTTGAAGGAATTCAGACCTGCGTGGCTCTCAGCTTTGGACTGAAGCAGGAAGGTCTCTAGGGTAGAGAAGAAAGGGACAGAATGTATGAGGCGATACATGAGACCATAGCATGTAGATGTCAATCTACCGTGTTTGCTCAAGCAACGCCATGTCTTGTGTCTTTCACATGTAGAGACACACCGAAACTCTCAGATTTTTATTGTTGACCCGCACATCAGAGATGGGCCTGTCTGGAGTTCTTCTCTTGGCTCCAGGGTAAAAAATTCCAGCCAATTTCTTCTCATCCAAGTCCAGCTTGAACTTTAATTCTCTACCCACAAGAAGAGTCCATCCAAGATTCCACATGACTGACACAACATTTCAAGATCTGTCTAGCCCCATACCCATAGATTTCCAAACAATACGCCACAGTCCTTGATTCTCAGGGTCACTGGTGTGAGTCCAGCTCACTGTCAAAAGAATTCTTCCAAAAATAAGTTATGAGCATCTAAGTTCTCAGTGTTAATGGAACACACTAGTATCTGGTTTCTATCACTTTTCTGTGGTGAAGAACTTCATGACTCGATCACCCTGCCCACTGGGGATTTCTCTGTCTTATTCTGATTGTTTATTACTCCACTTTACTTCGGCTCTTTATTCTGCTGTGAGACTATCCAAACCTCTTTCCTACCTCCTTCCTTAGTCTTGATATAAATCCTATAGCCTACAAATAGTGGTCATTAAGTGACTAAAAGGAAAACAAACCAGTGAGCAGTGGAGGAGGAGGAAATGATGCGCCATGAACCACCCCGGGAGAGAGGATTTGGAACTGCAGGGTTTTAAGTTTCAGGTATCTCTTGGGTCAGAAGAAATATTTCGTTGGATCCTGCCTTCCCTGTTTCCATCTGTAATACAGATTTTTCAGACCACAGTCCAGTGAGATCTAGTCTCTCTCTGTTTACACACAGGGTCTCAAAAGAAAACCTCAGCCTTCCTGTTGGGGTCTCTAACCCTGGAGGGGTTGGAAGGTTAAGAGCACTGTGTTTGCTTCAGCTGTGGTTAACCCCACCACACATAACCCATCTGCTGCTCACTGGAATCTGGCTCAGGCTCTGGTAACACATGGTACACTGCCCATTGGATTATCCCTTCTTCTTTGGGCTTCCGCTAGCCACTTTCCACAGAACCAAGGCCTATTTCTCCCTGAAGTAGTTAATTCCTCAGTTTAAATCTTTGTCTTCTGCTTACAGGAGAATCACCACCCAGGAGTCTGTAGTATTGCTGGAGTGTGGGTAGAAACGATGCCCACTCGTCCAAGTGTGGCCCATTAGAATCTCTTGGTAAGTCTACATTCTTACTCAGTATGCTTTTATCTGGTTTTGTCCATTTTTCTATATGACATGGCACAATATTATTAGATATATATAAATTTAATTGTTTTTAATCTCCTAAAAAGATGGGTTGAGCCTTTTATCACTGTGAAATGTTTTTTCCCCTCTGTGAATTTCCATGCACCTAATTTTTTTTTCTAGTATTAACATAGGCGCTCCAGGTCTCCTTTGGGCAGAGCCTGCAGGGGATGTTCTCACCTTTCCATAGAACTTATATCAACAGCACTTTTTTTTGTAATTAGCATTGTTTCTTTTGTATTCAGCACACAGTTATTAATTTTTTTATATCTGGCAATCTTTTTTAATTTTTGTATTCATTTGTATCTTGTGCAATTACTGATAAGTATGAACTGTATATTTTTTATGGTGATAGGTTTTATCTATTTTGTCTGCCTTGTACTAATTTACTTTTTTTCTATTGCCTTCAACTGGGTTAGCTAATTTGTGTTATTAAAGTTTTATATTATTTTGTATTTTTATCTGTGCTGGCTAGTTTTTGTCAACTTGACACAAGCTAAAGTCATCTGAGAGGAGAGACACTCAATTAAGAAAATGCCTTCTTTAAGATTGGGCTATAAGCAAGCCTGCATGACAAGGCATTTTCAGTGATTGGTGGGGGAGTGCCCAGCCCATTGTGGGTGGTACCATCTCTGGGCTGGTGGTCCTGGGTTCTATAAGAAAGCAGGTAGAGCAAGCCAGTAAACAGCACTCGTCCATGGCCTCTGCATCAGCTCCTGCCTCCAGCTTCCTGCCTGTGTGAGTTCCTGCCCTGACTTCCTTCAGTGGCCTGTGACCCAGAGTCTGGGAGCTAAATATACCCTTTGCTCTGCAAGCCGCTTTCTGTCACGGTGCTTTATCACAGCAATTGGAACCCTGAGTAAGACAACATCAGGATCTTTTTTCTTCTTTTTAATGGCCTCCTCCCCCCATCACTTTGGCCATGTTATTGCCTGCAAGCTCTCCAGTTCCCATTGCTTGTGTGACATTTGCAGCTTTTCTCTTGGGTTGAACTTCGAGAGTTGGTTGCTTTCTTGGCGGGTTGAGTGTTGTCTGCCCTTTCCATCTAGTGTGAGCTGGTTTGTCATGTCTCACATGGTTTTCTTAGTTCTCTCTTATTCCTTTTATAGAATTTATGTTTTCCCACACTTTTATTTGAGACCGTATTTATTCCTTCTTTGCTTTTGATTCCTTTAATAACTTCTGTACTGCCCTCTTGATGGTCACAAGTTGCTTAGTTTGTGTTTGTTTTGAATTAGGACTATTTCTCCCTCCGTTTTAAAGGCTGACTCTTGGACAGCCATTTTTGTTACCAGCCATTTACTTTCAGACTTACAGTATTTCCTTCTGTGCTCTCCTGGCCTTGAGAGTCACTAATGAGGGATCTGACGCCATTCTCATGTGTTGCCTTTGTGGGTTGGCGCTTTCTCCTACAGCTTCCCACACTGCTTCTTTGTTTTGTACATTTAGCATCTTGTTTATAATGTGTTGTGGAGAAGTTTCTGGTCATCTGGTTCTAGTTCTAAATAGCTGGATGTCTACTTCTTCACCTAGATCTGGGACATTTGCTGCTATAATTTCACCAAATAGACTTTCATGACTTTATTATTATTATTATTCATCGTAGCTCTTTTTATACCGAAGATATTTTGGTTGGATTTCTTGGTTATATCCCAGAGTTCTTAGATGTTCTGGGCATACAGTTTTTCTTCATTGATGTTTGAGTGGAGTGTTTCCTTAGTCTTCTCCTCCACCCTGCTAATCTTTCTTCTCTGGGTTTAGTCTATTGACAACGTTTGCTACCATGTTTTTGAATCACTGAGATTGTAATTTCCGACACTTCTGAATTTTTTGAAAACATCTGTTCCCTCACAACTTTCTCATTGTTTCTGACTCTCTTCTTAGGCTCCCGGCATTGATTCCCTTACTTTGTTTATCTGTTTGCTTGTGTCTTTTTTAAAGTCATTTACTTTATTTTACTTTTTACAGAAACTTCTGAATTCTTCATCTGGAAACTTACACACCTCAGTGTCTATGGGTTCATTCACTGAGAAGTTATGATCATGTCAGGCAGTCATGTTGTGTTTCTATCTCTATGTTTTGTGTGTGTGTGTGTGTGTGACTGTGTGTGTGTTTCTGTGTTGCAATTTGCACTTTGGTCAGCTGCAGAGAGAGTCTTTATGGTTGACTCATCATCTGTCTTCTGAGCATCTGTCATGGATGTCCTTGTGCATCTCAAGATAGGAAATGTTTCAACATTTACTTTGTTCTATATTTTTTATTCCTTTCCCATTTTTTTCTCCTTATAGAGCCCAGAAAAGCAAGAGTTCGTTCCCTTTCTGATGTGTCATGCATCTTAAAGGATTTTTTTCTATTTTAATTACTCTTCTTTATGTGACTTGGGCTATTTCTGGAGACTTCTATATGAATTTAAATTATTATTATTATTATTATTATTATTACTATTACTATTATTATTTGAGACAGGATCTTTGTGTACCCCAGCTGGCCTCAGACTTGGTATTTAGCCAGCGATGATCCTGACTCTCTGATCCACTAGCTCTTCTTCCCAAGTGTGGGGACTGTGAGCCTTTACACAACATCTGGCTTTTGTCACCTTGACATAAGCCAGGGTTGTCTGGGAAGACAGAACCTCTACTGAGAAGATGTCCCCATCATTTCGGCCTGTGGGCAAGGCTGTGTGACATTCTCTGGATTAATGATTGATGTGGAGGTCTAGCCTGTGATGGGCAGTGCCATGCCTATACATGTGCTCCTGGGTTTATCAAAAAGCAGAATGAGCAAGCCATGAGAAGCAAGCCAGAGCAGAAATCCTCGGTGGTTTCCGCTTCTATTTCTACCTCCAGGTTCCTGTCCTGCTTGAGTTCCTGCCCTGCCTCCCCTTAGTGAAAAACTGTAAGAGGGACAGGTAAGCCAAATAAACCTGAGTATCCTCCCTGAGCTGCTGTTGGTCATGGTGATTATCTCAATAACAGAAAGCAACCTGCAACAAAGACCTCATTATAAAAGTCTTTCTCTTGGCAATGCATCCTGAGCTCTGCTGTCTTTGGTACCAGGTCAACCCTATAATAGAGAAGGGTGAATCCTATAGTGAGGTCAGTGAATAGTGAACCCTATAGTGAGGTCAGCGAATAGTGAACCCTATAGTGAGGTCAGTGAATAATGAACCCTATAGTGAGGTCAGCGAATAGTGAACCCTATAGTGAGGTCAGTGAATAGTGAACCCTATAGTGAGGTCAGCAAATAGTGAACCCTATAGTGAGGTCAGCAAATAGTGAACCCTATAGTGAGGTCAATGAATAGTGAACCCTATAGTGAGGTCAGTGAATAGTGAACCCTATAGTGAGGTCAGAGAAGGATCAATCCTGCAGTGCTCCCTGGGGATGAGGGTAACCAAGCTGCAGACAAGCTGAGATGCAGCTCTTCTGGGTGAGGCGGCTTCATTGTTGGATCTGGACATGTTGCTCTCAGCTGTGAGTGTGGCGTGCCCATTAGTTTTCAGAGACTGAGTTGGGTCCCTTTGGTGTGGCATGGTCTGATCGAAAGGAGGGAGAGCTCCCCCGGGCCGGAGCCTTGGCCCCGGGCCGCAGCAGTGGCTCCACACAAGGCACAGAGGCCAGAGGCGGCGTGCCCCCGTCCGGGGTCTGACCCTAGAGGAGACCTCCAGGGGCACGGAGGCGGCGTGCCCCCCTCTGGGGTCTGGCCGTAGACGAGACCTCCCGGCTGTTCATGGAGATAAGATGACTCTGTGTCTGCCTGTTTCTAGGAGCCTCAGTCAGTGGAGCTTCTCAGAACAGGGTTCTTGGCTGCAGCTGAAAGGCAAGCCCAACCCATTTTTATTTTATGTTTTGCCTGCATGCGTGTCTGTGGACCATATGTATGCCTTGTGTCCTCAGAGGCAGGAGGAGGGTGTCAGATCCTCTGGAACTGGAGTTAAAGAAGGTTGTAAGCTACCATGTGGGTGATGGGAATTGAACCTGGGTCCTTTAAGAGCAGCAGGTGCTCTTAACCCCCTGGAATCATCTCTTTAACCTCACTGGCTGCCTCTTGGCACTAAAGAAGATGGACAGGCCTGTCTGGCTGCTTTGTTGGGCATTGCCAATCAGATCAGCTGCCTCAGGACTTTCAGGGTTGAGAGTGCTTGCTAGGTCTGAGGACTGCTTCCTGGGGGTAACCTGCACCAGGTGAGCTGCTCAGGGGTCTCCTGGGTTGCAGATGGATCTGTTCATCTTCTATTTTTGCTTGTGCTTTATAATTTATCTTCAGGTGAATTCTTTCGGTTGAGTAACCTTGCTCTTCCTGCAGCTACTGAGAATCCACTGTGGGACGAGAAAGCAGTGATTTTCAAACTTGGCTTATTTTTAGTCACCTAGTATGCTTTTTAAAATGTGTTATGTATTTAAGAATGTATACACATAACAATTAATGAGAAAAAGCAGCCATGAATTTGAAAGAGAACAAAGGTATGGGTGATGGGAGGGTTTGGAGAGAAGAGGGAGAAATAATGTCATTATATTATAAGTCTCAAAAAAATAAAAGACATAATTAAAAGAAAAACCATGTTGGTGGTGCTTTTCAGAACCACTTACCTCTGAAGCATCTCTCCAGTGAGTGCATCAGACTGTCCTCCCTTTGCAGGCAGCATCCTGTAATAACAGACTTGATTCACACTCTAGGAGGGCTAGCCTTGAGGAGGTCATCGTAACTCGCCTTAATCACACCACCACACAGTGTAGCTGCGTTACCAGGACATCTTCCTGGTGAAGCCAGCAAAGGTGACAGTGTCTGTCACCACACAGTGTAGCTGC